GCGCTTCCCTTTTACCGGGACATTTGACCTCTAAATGGAACCCTTAACTTGTGAACAAAATGTCGATTCCGAACGTGCCTTGCGCTATTGCGGGCGCTATAACCAGTCAGGACATCGTTGCTGGAATTGTTCTATCAATAGCAATATTAAAGCGCGGTGGTCGTCGCGCAGCGCGTGTTGGAATTTCATGTAAATAAACAATGTATTTTACACGCGTTGTATACGTCGCTATGAGTCCAATATCGAACAGGACGCGGCGCCACGACTGTCGGCCCTTAACCAATTATTTGAACATGCTGAAAAAAAAATTATCCACTGACTTTAAGAGAAATATATATGCCTATCTATGTAAGTAAATTTTTTGAGGTAATGAAAACAATAAAAGAATCTTCTATGATCGGTTGATATAAAACGCACATGTTCTGTCTAATCTGGAAATATTTAAATGTCTGCCAGTTTTGATTTTCAGCAAACATGTAACCTGGACAGTGCAAACCACGCCCGCCCCCCCCCCCCCCCCCAATTCAGAATTTACCAAAGTTTTGGATAATTTCGCTGTAAGTCAATATACCTACATCTCTGATAAAAGGGCTTTGGTCGTCGTGCCGCGTCCTGTTCAATATAGGACTCATAGCGACATACACAACGTGTGTAAAATACATTGTTTGTTTACATGAAATTCAAACACACACTCGGCGATGCACATTGAATTTTTTTTGTTTTGTTTTGTTTTGTTCTGCAAGATGCGTGAAATTCAGTCATCTTTGCCAGCCAAGGACCATTTATTCAGCCGAAGCCTCAACATTAACCCTTGGCAGATTTCACTGCGATTTACTGTATGTTGCATGCCCTCAAACGATTATAAGATTCACATGGGCTCATTTGATTTACCCAATCAGAACTCACGATAGAAACCGCATATTAGTTGGTAAAATCGTCACTGTGGCTCGGTTGAATATAGAAATCAACATGTTGCTAGCTTTTTCTCTGTGAACAAGCTTAATGACCATAAAAAGATAAAAATCTTACTTAGTGCTGTCTCTAAAGGAAATGATGTGCTAGTTGCAACGTCGAACGAATCAGGTAAGTCAACATGTTATCTGTTTTGACAGTTTTATCTGTTTACTAAAACACAGTTTGCACAAATATTTAAACATTCCATAGTCTTCATTCACTTGTTCACAAACAATTTCCAATGTTGGAATAAAAAAAATTGGAAAAAATGTCAACGAACATAGACCTTCTGTTCTTGACTCTCGGTGAATCAGTGCAGAGCCTACGTGTCGCATTGTTTTAATCTGTGACGACCCCCGAATCTTCAAATTTATGACACAGCAACACTGATTGGTAGTGTCAGCTTCTTGGCACGCCTAACCAAATGACTCAATTTAACTGCTAGGTTAGTTTCATATTGACAACATTTTTATATAATGTACCCATTCCTTGGTTCAATGTTACAGGTAATACACTCCCATAATGCAACATTCTAATAATGGAAAGCAGTCATACATGTAGAATGATATAAACTTGTTTTTAATTAAATCACAAAGTCCAGAGTTAAACATGAACACATTACTAATATGTAAAATTTAATTATGTCAACTATATTTTTTGTTTACTTTAAATCTGTCTGTCAAATAATATTCTGCAGTTTCCATATGCACAATGATATTTTGCTAATCAAACCCCATGAAAAGTATGGTAAATTTTGACACACCTAATTCACACTGCAATCTTTGGAAGTATCATATTTATCCTATTAGAAGCATAGGTAAATGATCTGTATCAATGGGAATTTGTGGTACTGTATTAACTCTATTAACTCTAGTAGCGCATTTTACATAAATGACAGAGCTGTGCCCAATCAAAATAAGTTTTAATTCTAATCAGGATATACTGGTTATGTGATACTTTGAAAGACTCAATTTAAATCATAAGCCCCCCTCCTCCTCCCATGCTTTAAAGCAAATAAGTGAAACAGATTTGAAATCATTTTGCAATAGAATCCATATATTCACATTTGTGAGTATTTTATGATTGCAAGCCAAGTCATCACAGATCCACATTTGATCATACATTTCTAATAACTAGTCTAATTATATACTTTTACATCTGCATCAACGATATTGCATCAGGCAATTTTAACAGGTATATCAACTCTGTCTGACTGACTTCTACAAACACAATTACTTTTTCAACTCATCCAAATGAATCGTACACTTTAGGACCCCGGAAGTATTTGTACTGCTACAAAATTTTTTTGATTTTCACTGAATTGTGAAATTTGCAGAAATTTATTGCTTACAAAATTAAAACAGAATGTATAACAAAGCCAGACATATAATTTGGTTTTTGTTTTAGCAGCTTTCTAAAAAACAATGCATGTTTAATAATACATTTCTCAGCGATATTTTTTCCAGAAATCTGGTGGGAGGGGACCCTGGTCTTTGTTTTCATCTCTGATTGGACGTGATACACGACTAAACGAGAAGTTACCATGAGAAGAGTTTGTCATTTCTTTTCTAGATGGTTTTCTTCTTTTGTTATTTCCCGCAAATGGATGTTCGGTTGTTTTATAAAATCCTTCAATCTTTCTACTTGGTACATACTGTAATGCATCTTTCCAGTTGTTTGTTTTCTTCAACTCCAACATTATCTTCACCATCTGATCAATGGTTAAGTTTTTAGCACCTTTACTCCATTTTACATGTTGATCAAGAGGTAGGCGTGCACTTTGTATTCCAAGGCGTTTTGACTTTGCAAACGAGACACCAGATCTTATGGAGAGATCCACCATAACCCCTATGATATACACCTTATCTGGGTCATAGTGGGTCAGAACATTTGGCGAATCGGCACTCAGATATACTAATTTATCTTTGGGGAATAAATCCATGAAAGATTTATGTGAAATGTCTATAATAGCTCTGTCAAGGTAATCTTTGAATATACGATTTAGTTCCAACTCGTACGCACCACCGGGGCGTATACTGGTCCAATGCATATGAAACGGTTCATAAAATGTTTTCATGGCACCGAGCATATCAGTTAATTGTTTAACTGCTGCAGTTATCTCACGTGGATTGACAACATGTTCATAGTCAAAGTCAAGTACAATACTGGATTCAAACAACATTCCACGTACCATATTCCAGGTGCTTTGGTTAGACATGGTTGATTGACTTAAATAGATAAATATGGTATTTTTGTCAAATTTTCTTCCCAGTGCAAGGTTCTCTTCCTTTCGCTTCGAAAGTATCTCAGCGTTTCTTTCCTTTTTCTCTTTACTGACTTGACGGAGTAACTCCTTCCTGGCCAGTAATGACAAGTATTTTTTTCTGGCACTTTTAGTTGTTAATTTACTGAAATATCGAAGTTGTTCATCTGTCACTTTTTCAGGGACGTACTTTCCAGACCTTCTCCACATATCTATCAACATTAAGGCATTCTTAATTTCCTCATCATATTCCCCAATCTCTTGAATTGATTCATCACAATCTGCATTACTCCCATCAATCATAGTGTTCAATTTATCTGCAGTTTTATCAGTACAATAACGTCTGTCTGGAGAATACAGTGAACCAATCAGAGCCCTTGTTGAATGATAAAGATGTACATTTGGTTGATGAAAAATAGCATTATTATTTCTGTACATCTCGTTCATATCTGGCAACATCTGGAGTACTCCATATGATTGTAGCAGTTTTCTTCTATAACAACATATGGATGACTGTACCCTTCTAACAGCTGCAAGTGAAGCCGGTCTTAACATGGTGAATTTCTGTGAATGAATATTACACATTCTTTTAATCACTGACCTGAGAATTTATTTTATATTTTGCACTTTGCACTACATTCAAATTATCATAATACCACATTTGCTCTATTAGTAGTGCATGTGCTTATGTAAATAACAGAGGTATGTCTATGGTCAAGATAAGACGCATTTTAATAACTCAGTACATTTTTGATTTATATGCACTTCTATTGAAGATGCGCTTCTAACAGAGAAGATAAAGTATATTTAAAGTGGTAGTCTGTAATCATAGTCCTACACACAATCATGCCAGTTAAATGAATTTCCAATAATTGGAATATTTTTTTTAGTTATATCCTTCACTTGTCTATTATTAGATACTCTTCTCCTCTCAGTAAATTCAATACATTTTTATATGCCTTCACGTTCTTGTTGAGTTGTGATTGATCTTATCATGAGAGCTAACATAGTTCTTTATTTAGCTCCCTCATCACATGATATTGTGATCAATTGAGTGCATTTAATTCATAATCTGATAAGGAGAAATTTATACTTATAATGAGCAGCAATAACAAAAAACTTGATTAATCAACTACATGTACATCCATGAAAAACTAAAACCGTTTTTCTCAGAGTAAATATGTTAATTCATTAAGAGATTCATGCTAACTGTATTATTTCATCAATCATTTCTTTGACTTTTTCTGCTGACATTTAAGTTGTTTTCAAATCAAATCATTATTATCATGTATATGCAAAAAAAAAAGAAAAAAGAATGCTTCATTACGATGAGAATATGTTTAGTATTCTATTCTACAATTCACAGTTTCTGATCAACGGCATGGGGACTGTGCTTTATTCCGCAAAAACGGATCAACTGACTGACAAAATTACTTACAGAGAACGCAATTAGTAGATTCGCCAAGATTGTGATGAAACCCTGCTTATCTTTCACAAACCGTTTTTTATAGACTTTCTTGCCACTGGTTCTTCCATGAAGCCATGGCCACGCTGTTTCCAAACCATGCTTTCATTCGACTAACCTTTGACCTCATAATACGACCTTCAGTTGACCTTTAGGCTCATAAAAAAAAATATGGTCTTAATTCGATTTTTAATTTTGTTTAATAACCTAGAGTACGTACTATTAATGTAAAACGTAATGCTATATAATAAATGAGACTATCTATGATTAGATGTGCAAATTTGCGGGC